TGTATAAAAGAGTGGTATAGTGAACAGCTGGTACTTGAAAGAATGTACCCAGAGGGAGTCACCTGATCTTGAGAGAGAATCAATATAAAAAAGGAGGTCCTCTCAAAGTTTGGGTGGGAAGAGCTTTTAGAATGGAATAGGATAGGATAGGATAGGATAGGATAGGATAGGATAGGATAGGATAGGATAGGATAGGAAAGGAATGGAAAGGAGTGGAGTGGAGTGGAGTGGAGTGGAAAGGAATGGAATGGAATGGAACGGAACGGAACGGAACGGAACAGAACAGAACAGAACAGAACAGAATAGGGTTAGGGTTAGGGTTAAGGTTAGAGTTAGGGTTTATTATTTATTGTTCAAGTTTGATTGGACATGCAAGGAATTTGTCTTCGGTGCACATAAAAGATATAAATGATAAATCATGATCATAGTCATCATAAATACATTCATCATAAGATACAACACTTAGTAATAATCATAGGATACTAAATAGGTAATCAACACAAATCATACTAGGAATTAATAAACAATAGAAATCATAAAGATGCAAGCAAAAAAGTTATAGTCATAAGTAGAAAAGGGAATAGGTAATAATAGGAAGGAGGAGGAGAAGAAGAAGAATGTTAATACAGTTTTACTAAAGTTGACAGTCCCACATCAATGTCAAAGTTAGTTTGACAGTGTTTTGGGAATTACTTGTTTAGCAGAGGGGTAGCCTTGAAATGTTGATTGATTAGTTGATAAATAATTGAAATTATGGTATAAACTAACCTGGATTTTCATGCTGTCATTCATGGCAGAACTTTTATCCTTCTCTTTGAATTCAGATCTAAACCAATGTCTGTGTTGGAGGCCTTTTGTCATTTGTCTGTATTTCTTTTCTCTATGAAGCTTGAAAGCAGCATGGTTCAAGAGCAGAAAAGAAAGTAAGGGACATGAAAAACTTACTGGATATTTTTTGCTGGTTCCCCTCAAGCCATTAAAAAAATGCTAAATGAAAAGCAATGAATGATCGTTGAGCCAATTGAAATGACCCCACTCATTTTAATGGTATCACATGGACAATGTAAAATAAAGATAGGGCATCAGTTTCAGGAACATGGACACTATTTGTACTTTTAAATTTTTTTCCTGTGGTTGTCATTTCTTGCAAGAAATGTCAATGAGATCAAAGTCAAGGACTTGATTAAGTCCTTTTAAAGCAGAAGTCAGGCTGTTCAATGTTTTCACTTTTGTACCAAGGAAATTCTGTAGTTATTGGATCTTACCCCAAATGGTAATGCCAGGCCTTTTCTTTCAAGAACTCAGGAGCACCCAATATTTTGGCTTCTGCACTGAGATGATTTCATGATTGGTCTTATGGACACTTTGTAAAAAGATCAGCCAAGCCTGTAAACTTGGTAACTCAGGAATCAGGAGTGCAAGTGGGAGGAGGCAGAGAAGTTTTATCTACTTACCTTAGTAGTCTCTGCATGAATCTTTGGACAAAGATATGCTTGTGTATCCATGCTCAAATGTGCATGGAAATGCATATACAGTATGTAGGAATGTGTACATTTTCCTTGAGCCTGTGAGATTTGAACTGTCAAAGGTCTGGCAGGCCAAAGTAGCCTGCAGTACTGCATTCTAACCACTATGCCACCATGGCTCTTTAGACTTATATACCACCCCATAGTACTTTACAGCACTCTCTGATCAGTCTACAATGTTAGCCTATTGCCCCCAACAATCTGGGTCCTCATTTTACTGACCTGGGAAGGATAGAATGCCGATTCCACCTTGAGCCCTTTCAGGTTCNAGCCACTCCCACAAAGGAGGCCACACCCACAGAGTAGGTTCGAACAATTTTTGAAACCCACCACTGATGTTAATATTACAGAACATGTTAAAGCCTTGGAAAGTTTCGATGTTCCCATATTGTTCTAGGTTTGTTGATGGATTATTTTCCCAAATAATATTTTAAAATCCAAACTTACCAAGCAGGATCAAGCCTGGAATCCCTTCTGCAGGCTCTTCATCATCTGTACCCAACCATAGTATCAGATGTCCTAGCAACTGTTGTTTTCTTGCCATGTTTCCATGGCTTTCATCATCGCCAGCTCATAAAAGATAGGTTTAAGTCATCCTAAGCTATACCAGCATTAAAGCAGCATTTGCTCTCTCTCTCTCTCTCTCACTGCAACCTTAAGGGCAGCCTCGAAGTGTTAGGCTTGGTCACCCGTTAATTACTGCATCCAGGAGAAAACTCAGTCAACTGCAGTATCTTGATACAGAGGGAAGCTAGGGAGCAACAATGGGACAAGGAATTTTATGCCAAGTACAGCTTTATGCTGATACAAAGATGGATGGAAAGAAAAGCATCTGATGGAGGGGATGTCTTTTATTCCGAGAAGGAAAAGGATATTGACTGGATATCAACGTATACAGATTTTCAAAGCCCAAGCCAGTCCCACAAAAAAGAAAACACTTTCAAATTCAATCTGTTTCTTCAGTCAGCTGGGTTTTTAAAAAAATAAATAATAAAGGAGATCTATATTGAATGCATGCTTAAATTTAGAGAACATAAAGGAGAAATGCTTTTTTAATCAGTTTTCTTACCTTTCGCGGGCTGGCTCTTTCAAAGCTTCCTGAAGAGTTTTGTACTGTTCTGTAGTTTCTTTAGGACTTTCCAATTCAGGACTTCCAACTGTGACCTTCAGATCTGGAGATAAGAAAGCAGGGTAATCCATGTGTCGTGGTTTGATGACATTGCTGCAAAATAAACAAAACCGGTGCCTTCAAAGTTTGTTCCGGGTAGAAGGAATCACAAAAGAATTCTTCCCTCATTATCCTTCCCTATTGGATACCATTATTATTATTTTTTATCAAGGGAAAGCACTCTATATATCTTCAATGGAAAAAAACAATACTTTCAGAAGCAAATGATGTTTAAAACAAAATTAGTTTAAGCACAAGGACTCACTATACTTAAACACATAATTTCAGTTTTAAAAAAACCCAACCAACACGATCATGCTTTCTCAGCTAAAGTAAATACTTTATAAACATTATATCTACATTTTCAAGGAAACTAGAGACATCAGTTATAGTGAGTTTTGTAGGTATAAATATCCTGATAATCTAGCAGCCATGGCTATGGGCCAAAGTTTACAAGAGCTTGCCTAAAAATCTTTGCTGCAATTTTAGTTAGACATTCTAGATTGTTGTTCTAGATGTTGCTTGTACTTCTGTCATGTGTTCTGTTATACACATTGTATAAATGAGGTTAAAAAACAACAACATTTCATGTAAATAGTCCAGTGAATGAAATGTGCTCTCCCTCTGTTCATTTCCCAATGAGTCTTAATTGGAAATAAGTGGAATTTTGTTGTGAGATTTGACATCTGAAACTAGCTATGTGATGCTTACTGTTTACCTCTTTACAAACAGCTGAGCAAGAACACAGGGAGCATTCCCCTTGCGCATTAATACATCAATATGGAGGATGGCGTTCACACCAAAATTCTAGCTCAGCCATCACTAATCTGTATCTTCTAATCTTCAACTAGTTCCAGAATTCTCCAGCCACTGTGATCATGAAATCACAATACCATAATTTTGAACCCATCTAGCTTAGAAAGAATTCTGTACATATTCAGAACTCATATGCTGGACTCCACAAGAACCATAAACAACCATTAAGGACAGCTGGGAATAATAAACAAATTTATCATGAAGAACGGAAAATTTGCTGGTAAAAAGGTTTTGACTTAATCCAATATCCATGCAGGCTACCATTACATTAGATCAGTGTTTCTCAACCTTGGCAACTTGAAGATGTCCGGACTTCAACTCCCAGAATTCCCCAGCCAGCATTGGCTGGGGAATTCTGGGAGTTGAAGT